TCTACATTTATTCAAATAATACTTAAGTCGTCTTCTTCTGGAACTCATGAACTCTCCAAAGTTCCAATTCCATCCTGAATGTCTTGCGACTCTATTTCCTTTAGAACCATTGCCCAATCTCTCATGTCAAGCATAGAGCTCTCACGGGCAGATGAAAGGGCTGCCCAGTCTTCTTTACCACTCCACACAAAATGCATGGGTTGTGCAGATATGCTGTGTAGCCCACGCCATCACTAGGGCTTATTTTCGGGGTAGGGCTTATATCACACAAACAAATGCTTAGAATCTCCTGCTAGGCTTATTCTTATGTAAGACTTATTTTTGGGGAATACGGTAGCATCATATGGCCTAAAGAAGAAAACCCAAGAAAAAGAGTAGGATAATCTCTATAAATACATAAATATAGCATTTCTAGATCAGGCTTGCTAAAGGCTTCAGGCTCCCAAAACACACCATGCCAGTTCATTGATGCCCTGGGACTCCGACCACACTGTCCAGAGGTCAGACTGTAAACTCCACGAGGGCAGGAACAGTCTATTTTGTGTATTGTCCTATCTTCAGTCCTACACAGTGCCTGACACTTGTAGATAATTGAATCAAGGGCTGATGTTAGACATTCTACTACATACCATGGGGCTAATGGCCCACAGTAAGGATGCTGCCAGGCCTCCTGTGACCAGGTGTCCTACTCTCCTGTTGCTCCACTCAGTATCTTTAGATACTATCAGCTGATGCTTAAAGGGACCGTCATTAGGCTTTCCTCACCTGAAGGCAGCCCCAGGATGAACAATCTCCATTGGCAGAATACAGCATTCCATTGAGTTTCTAATCTCAAAAGTCCTGTGTCTCCTCATCTGATCCACCTCTCCACAGAGGAACATGATGACCTGGTGAGGCAGTCCTGGCTACATAGAGGACAAAATATGAAAACCAAGACAGGCCAGACTTTAAGATCCTTATCACTTCAACTTCAACCAAACTGAAGATGGGAGTTTTGGTCTTGTAGTTCTCCTAGTAAAATTTAGGGAGCCATCAAGGCAGGGTGGAAAAGAGAGACGGGTTTTGGTAGAAGACACTGATTGACTCAACTACCCTCAGCACTACGAGACCAAACAGAGACCAGTTGTTTCAGTTGGCCTGTCCTTGGCCTCACAGGTCCCTTTCTAATCTTACTTAAAGAGGGGAAAAGAGGGTATGATTTGCCCCTCAAATGCTGCTCTATTGTTTGAAAATTTAGGCAAGTAAGGCCAAAAGACCAAATTAGTACCATTTTTTAGTATAGACACCCTTCCTTCTTTTTACCCAGGGAGAAAAGGGAAAAATGAAGAAACCTAAAAAGGGCATAATTTTTATTTCCAACTCTAACCTCATTAACTCTACATGCATATTACAGTCTCTTTGAACCACAAGATCCCTTCCCCCAAATCTTTACCCAAGCCAGATACTACACTGCCAAGCACTGGGTCGGTAGGACAACAGGAACTGCTTCAATGCGATCCAGAGCCCTCCAACTTCTTCATGTCCCTGCAAGTAGTGCAACACCCGACACTCTCCCTTGCACACAGGCTTTGCATTTCCCGACATCTCACTCGTCTCCCGCCTGGCTCCTGACCACAATGGGGAGGCAGCAGCTGGCCTCACAGTGTAACCGTGGGCTGGTTCATGAGTGGGTGGGCTTTGTGACTGGGGATGCGTAGGAACCGCCCTTTGGGCCTGGTGGGAATTTAAAGCTGGAAAGAGAAAAGCAGTGGGTCAAACATATCAAGTTTAAATACGACTGCAAGAGGGTAGAAATTACATGGTGGGTACCTAGCCCCAGGGCATAGCAAACTATGGCTG